ATCAATCTACTAGATGCAAAAAATCATGGACTAAATATAGACATTGGATTTATGGACATTATAACCTGCCTGACATCTGATACTCCAGGTAACCTCTCTACAATTTACCAACTACATTCCATCACCAGGTCACTATTTCCCTTCCCCTTCCTCCCCCCCACCTCCAACCTGTCTCTCACCCATTGTCTCCCACCCTCTCCAATTCTCACTGCCAGGTATTCGCATTTTTACTGACCTGCATTCTTACATATTGACTTCCATCCCATCCAGGACAATAAAAACAACTGCAGGTACTTCCTCTGCCTGAAGATGGGTGTTTGTACCCAAAAGCTTGCAAAGAAGATTTTTTTCCAACTATTTTAATTGGTCTTATAACAGATATCTGATTTACCCAAAGAACCTTGCCTGCCTATGTCCATAGACCAACTTGGCTACAACTAACACCCCTAAAATCCTTGGTATCAAATCCTAGGGCCCATTAAATCTCTCCCACAACCCATTAGTTTGGTGACATACAGACACCAAAGAGTGCCTGAACTTGCATTTCTTCCACAAACTCTGGTTGGCTGTGAACCCATTCTGGTGAAAACTTGTAGCAGAGCATGTGCAGCAGTGGACAGACTTATGCGGGCTTGTGGATTTTACCTCAAATTCTTTGAGTATACTTAGAGAATGATGTACATAGTTTTTAGTCCCTGCATTGCAAGATTATAGTTTTTCAGTCTCTTCTTATGCCTCTTGCTCTTTGAACATGGAGAAAGTACCAGTCTGGTATTTCAATCAATAACCCTTGTATTGGAATTTTAATTTTCTCCTTTTCCCTAAACACTTTTGGCTTGATTCTAATGCATGTGATTTTTGTTCTCTCAAAACACTTAAGAACAGATTTTTTTCATTATGAAATGGTGAAATAAACTGCATTATCTCAGCACTCAGAACTCAAGTCAAAGTTTCAAGCAAAGGACCTTTTACAAGTACTTTTTAAAACGGGAGATTGTGATAAATTTAGAAACAACTGAGAAGTACATTATTTCACAATAATGTCATTTATTTAAAAAAAAATGTCATGGTATAAGGGACAATGTTAGGAGAGCTGAAAATACTAAAGCACAAGCTAATAGGAAGACTATCAGGACATAAATGTAATAAGCAGAAGGCCAATGAGGGTTATTGAAGAACTATTAATCACTGCCAGTATAATAATTGTGTAAGACAAAAGACTACAGTGTTTCTATTCTGAAAAGTTTAAATGACATACACAGAAAACACTGGATGATAGCACTGCAGAGGGCATTCTTAAGCAGCTTCTTCCTGCTATGACTGATATATTGGGGCCTCAAGGAAGAAGTCAAGAACGTTTATGAATTTAGTAAGAGCAGCTATACATAGGTCAATGATTACCACTAGTTCTGGTGTTCTAAGTGTTCTTCTGTAAGTTAAGCACCTTTTAGTATAGTTGGCATTCATTAGCAATGACCTCAATTTCCCTTCCTAAAGTTACCAGTTTAGGATTTGCTGACCCTGCACTACCATGTTTTCCTTCACAGCACCTAAAGATGATGGCACTTTGAAGTCTTAGAGCTAGATTCCTCATTTCCATACCCCTACCAGGAACACTAGAGTCCTGGGTTTACAGTCCTGGGGCTGATCAGGTAAAAGTAGTCCAGTAATTAATACATTGAAGCTGTGGAAGAAACTGTACATTTACCTGCAGTTGGTAGTTTCTGGCTACTTCTCCCAGAAGATTTAGACTGAACCACCAATGCTTTATGCAGCTCCTTCGGTAAAGAGAGAAGGATAGAAATAGTATTTCCATAGTCCTCAAGCTGTAATATTTAGAATGATAATATAATAGTTTATTCCTGGAAAATTATTTTGATTCTTAAGACTTAATCAGATAATAAACGGTACTTTCCTCTAAACAAAGGAAAACTTACATGTGACAACCTGTTCTGGAGATAACACATGCAAAGGCCAGAGGACAATTACATGCTGTTTATTTCACTTTGGGTATCCTGATTTTTTTTTTTTTCTCATCCCTGAAAACGCTTCCATGTTTTTTTAACTTCATCATGTGCTCAGAAAGTCTTCTGTTGTATTTATTCACAATCTGTGTGCTACATAGTCCGTCTTACCTCTTTGAGCATATCAAAGAAAATGAAGTATTAAGACACTTTAAATACAGAAGCCTCAAACTGATCCTGAAGTTACTCAGGCATCTGGTCTTTGCTGTTAATATGTATATAGCTTGCACTGACAGAGGTGTAAATCTCCTTTAATAGCCTCACAGGTATGTAGTGTACTCTTAATTCTATTGTGTTATATGTATTATTGCTGGAAAAAGACCAAATCACCTGAAGTATTAAAATAATTTGCTATTCTGTGCATCTACTACAGGGGCAAACAAGAAGTAACTTAAGGAATATTGGAGGCGCACACACACAATTGTTTTAACTTCAGTAGGCTTTAGATCAGTACATAGAGGAACACAATAACACAAGGGAGCAGAAAGCCTTAATTTTTGTTTTTCAAATGCATGTGACAGATGGAAGATGATATTTAAAGTGTTCTATTTGCACTTCATGGGAAGGACCTGGTGATTTGGGGATTTTATTTTTTCAAGACTAAATAAGAATACACATTTTTCAAAGTTATATCAGAGAACTGTATTTAATAGGGCTAGATGAGAGCTATCTATTAAGTACTAAAACAAAGCCAAACAAAAACAGTTTAATATAAAAAATAGGAGATTCCTTGATTTTCTGCAAAGTTTGGATTAAATCATTTTGGAACTTGAAACAAATGGGTTTGAAATGGTTTTCCTAATATCTACTTTTTCTTAATTTTTTTTTTTCAGACTCTGTTTAAAGTACGCAGGGAGATTACAAAATATGAATATAGATAAATTACTCCAGAAATTTAATTTTACATGTTTCATATTTGTTTTAGAATTTCAATGAAAGTGTAGTACATTTCCCAACTCATTTGAGAAACCATGTTTTGGTGAGAAAATAACACGTTTACATTTGCTGGTGACTTGGGACCATTAGAAGATGACAAATATAGACACATTTACTCAAATGTAGCTATTGACTTCAGAGTCACCATTTGAAAGCACTGCATTAACTCAGAAGAACATTCTTTGCTAGCTTGTGGCTTTTTTTTTTTTTTAAATGACAGAAGATCCATCAAACTGAAACAGTCACATTTAATATGATGCAGACAATTCTCCATAGCTGAATACTTACTACAGTAGAAGGCAGAGTAGATTTGGACCTTGAAGACTAAACAAAGTAGTTCCTTTGTTTGTCAAAAGTAGAGATCCCCAGCTCACGGCTGCCATGCTTCTGCCACCCCTGTGCTTTCCCAACCACCGGGGGCATGTGCCATTTATGGGGGCAATGACAAGAGAAGCAAACATACAAGCAGTAAACCCATAGAAACAAAGGAATCACAAAACTGAACCCAGGTAATGAGATAAAGATCCTTAGTCTCTGTTTAAGCCATACTTAACATAATCTAGTCTGTGGATTGTTTTTTGTTCTGCAATTTCCCACCTGTGGGTGATCGCTGCTTGCCACCCCACCGCTGAATCCCTACCTGGAAAAAGATGACAATCTTAGAGCAGTCATGGAGGAAAGACCTGCCCAGGCTTACAGGTAGCCCCCCAGCCTCAAACAGCATCTCTCAAGCAACAGACTACCTAACTCCCAGTCTCACAGGGGGACCAGACATTGCAATGGACCCAAATACCTTCTATTCCTCAGCATCGATACAGACCCCGTCATCAATGGACTGAATAACATGGATTATAACATTCAAGGTTCATTCGCTTGTAATTCTACCAATGTCATGGACTTTAGCCCATAAAAAGTTATGCTATACACACACCAAACACCCACACTTTGGTTAGTCTAGAAGGTGCAAATCTACCTTACCTCCTACTTGACTTTAGACCAATATGGCTAACTACATCTCTCTACTTACAGTCTTCAGGTTCTCTGTTATATTAGCAGTCATTCTTTTCAAGATACTGCAATTTTAAAAACGTTTTCCATCTTCAGCTATCTAGGGAAAATCATTTTGTCACAGAAAAATAAATTAATTTAATGTTAATTAAGGGTGCTCTGTTTTACTGGAACAACATTTTGTAAAAGGCTGAAGAGTTAAGAAATGAATGCTTTAAGGTCAACAGTCCCACACCTGTTTTTCTATCTCCACCATCTACTTTTTTTTAAATGCACTGTTTGAATTTTTTGGGCAAAAGAACAAACTTGGAGCCATTTTTCCACATTTGTATGTCAAACTTAAGGCCAGATGGTAATTTATACTAAGCCACATATTTATTAAAAACATTCTCTTGTCTTACAGGTAATGCAAAAATAATGCCGAAGGGCAATGTTGTTAGTCAATTTAAGACTGCTGATAGAGTGAGCAACGCACTGTGTGTTATGGACTGCAGGGAGTCAATGAAACCTTTAAATGTCAAATAACTCCTAAAGGCAACCTCTCCTTTCAGCATTTAAAATAACAGCCCTGCTAAGTTGTCATCAGTCTCTTCTTCTCTTTCATTTTCCAGCCCTGAACAGCCTAACATCCTAGATTTAACCAGCCCATTATTCATTTACCAACCCACCATAGATTTGAAGTGCTCTACCATTCATCATCTATAATTGCACCACAAGAACTACTGTGTTTCCACCGTTTAAAGGGGCCTTTTTGTATAAGTGAAGGGAAAAAAGGAAATATAAAGGTGCAATGCCTTGCCACCAACAGAGCATGGGCTTTTCAAAACTATGCTGTATCATTTTGATTAGAAGGAATTCACATAGATTCATAAGCAAGATCTTAAGTCAGTACAAAAGCAGTGATCTCACCAGCAATTTCTAGAGCTGACTAATTTGCATCAGCTGAAGATTTTAAAGTTGGAGAAGACCATAATTATCATTTACTTCAATATCCTGCACTGTACCAGATATCCCTATAAATTGTGGTTTAACATGAGCATTTTGTTTAGAAGATGTTCAGTTTTCACATGAAGGCCCTGGAGAAAAATTTCCATCATTCTTTCGCAATCAGCTCTAATGGGTACGTACTCTCAGTGTAAAATCTTATTTTAAGTCATTTAACCTGGACCCAGAGGGACAGCCTTCCATCTTCAGCTTCCTCTGTGCAAAAATGAAGTTTATTTCCTACCTATGGGGACTATTTACCATCTTGTACCATCTATACTTTTCCCAGAGCTGGACAAAGGGACTTTGAACCCAAAACTTGTAGAAAAGGACAATTTTTTTTGCCATTTTCCAGTTGGTCCAATAAAAAGGTATCATTTTGGAACCCAGAGTTCTAGTTTTTTGTATGTCAACCTGCCTAAGGAATTCTCTGTGAATATGAAGTAGTAAAGCATGGAAAGAAGTCTTCTGAATTTGCCAACCGACAAACCTTTGCAGTGTCTTATAAAATTATGTGACAAACTGGGATGGTGGGGGGAAGAGGGGAAGAACCCAATGAAACAGTATAGGCCTATAATTCTTATTCAAAGAAGGAATCAGATTTTGATATTTACATTGCTGTAATACCAGATGAAACCAATGTTCAGATATTACAGAGAATAGTACCATTATTCTTGACTGGTAGGGTTAACAGTGCTTCTGTGGCGAGAGGCCAAAGAAAATACCCAGCTTCAGAGACAATCTTAGTCCTCTGTGAATTAAGTCTACTTTGTTGCTTAAGACTGCCTTCATACATGCCAGCCACCTACATTCAAAACCCCTAAGTTTGATCCCCAATGGCAGTTTAGCCTGATCCCAGATGCCCTGCTAAACTTCAGAGCTCAAGGCTGGCTGAGCATCTTGGTAGCTTGCCCTTCTCTGCAGTGGGCAGCTCACTCAGGGGTGCAGGTAGTGAGCACAGGATATTGCAGGATTGCTACTAAAGGAATTCCTTTTTTCTCAATACTGGCTCTACTGCCCATAATTTAGCTGGGCACAGCAGAGACAATAGCCTGCAAACTGAATCCTAGAAGCATTCCTTTTGAGGCATGGGAAGGACAGTGTGTAATTGCCAAAAGGTAAAATAGGAAGAGAAGACTTACTTAGTTTGGGCTGATTGAGGACAATGCTCCAGGTCAGCCCTAAATAACAACATGTAGGCATTGCTCAAGACAATCTTCCCCAAATTGGGTTCAAACCAAAATGAGTTTAACCAGCCTTACATAAAGCATTGCTCAAATTTGTTATTACTTACAATGGGATACATTCATTCCTGGTACAACTTCATTGATGAGTGAAGTTATGAACACAATATCTTTAAGGAATACTTATTCCATAGCATTTACATTGCACAGTTTAATCTAGTCTTATCAAGATACTAGCCAGTAGACACAATTATGACTCATTTACTCAGCTGTCCTTTGCTTTTAGCTTCTCTCTCACTTCCGATTACACCGTTATTGGTCTCCATGGTTACCTGCTCTGTTTCATCATGCTGTGTTTATGAGACATTTTGAAACAAAAGGTTCAACCATCTGCTATAGATTTACCCCCTGAGAAAAAGACATCCAATCCATCCTTCAATATCCATAAATTTTGTGGGTGGTATCTTTGACTCGGTGAAGTTCCTGTTAAATCCCCACCAACTATAAATGGGATTTCACCCTGTATTTTTAAGTTCTGTTGATCACTTGGCAATTATCTGGTGGACTAGGAATAGTTGTAATAATAATAATAGCAGCATTAAAAACTACACAGGTGAAAAATCTTGTTACTAAAAAGGTACACACATCATTTCCTTTATGACTGGCAAGAAATTCAGTGTAAATAAGGGCACTGTTGGATACAAACATCCATTTACAAATAATCTAATCATTATATTAATGTGTGCCCAAGGTCCCAAGTGAGATAAGGTCCCATAATTTCAACACCTATTTAGAAACGTCTCCATCTCCTAAAGAGTTCACAATCGGAACAGACAAAGAGTGAAAGAAACCATTCTTGCCATATGTGTACCTGGGAGTGCTAAAACCTAAGTGATTCTGTGTTGCTGCCTTGCAGAATTTTCAGACTCAAGACACTCATTACACTTCACATTCAGTTATAGTTATGCATCAAAAGGAAAGATCTACACAGTTTTAACCTACTCTCCTTTCTTGAACTTGTTTAGGAATTTATTTGTCAGATGACAACAGCAAAACAACCACACAGGAAAACAACTGGAATGTTGTTATCCTCAATGCAAGCACATTTGGGGATCCAAGGATCTCAGTGTCAGTGGGCACATCTACACAAGACATGTTACTACGCATTAGCTTAGTTTACTGCACAGTATGCATCCGTGATGTGCAGTAAAAAAGACTAATTGCGTCTAAATTTGATATCTGCAAATGCAGGCATCAAATTTAAAGGCAATCAGGACTCATAATAGACATGATATCTTTTATTAGACCAACAAGATTTTTTCAAAACAGTTTTTTTAATTTCAAGCTTTTGGGCACAAACCCTTCATCAGGCATTGGAGAAAAGATTGAAAAAGTTCTCCTGGGTAGAAATGAAAGCTGGTATTTTATAGGATTTCAGAGGAGACAATAGATGGAAAACTCCTCTGGGCAGTCATGAAGCCTCTCACCACCTGTGAGGATCTGTGATTATGCAAATTACCTTGAAACAGAGATAGGAGTGGGATCTCAAGTTTCAGGTGGTCACAGTTGCTTCCTGCTTGGGAAAGTATGAATATTGCATTTTTTAAAATTGGCTAAAATTTGATTTCTTTCATATATCAGATGGTGAGAGGCTTCATACCAGCTATAAAACTGGCTGCCCCAAGGAGTTTTCCATTGCCTCTGTGGCAGTCCCTAGCTCAGGGGTGGGCAAAAAATGACAGGAACCAGGGGCAGTAGGACCCAGGGGAAGTCAGGCAGGCTCCCACAGCAGAAGGGCCCACCCGGCTCTGCCCCTCCCAGCCCAGAGCCATGTGGCTCCTCCAGCGCTGGAACCTCAGGTAAGGTGGGGGGGGGGGAGGGGGGGGGCATGGGAGGAGGCAGGAAAGGAGCTGGTGCAGAACACAGGGAAAAGTGACCCCTCTTCCACCCTGTGGCTAGTGCTTACTGCTGCAGCTGCTTGCAGCCCGCGTGGGGCTGTCCTAGGAGGGCTGTGAGTGACTGCAGCATGGGGCACCAGGCACAGGGCAGGTGAGGTGCTGCTTTCCCCGCCCCATGCTCAGCACCAGCTTGTAACCCACCCCACTGCCAGCCAGGGCCCCTTGCCAGCTCTGGGCTCACTGGTCAGGCCTGTGCACAGCAGCAGTAATTGCGGCCTCCCCGCTCACCACGCCAGGCAGTGTTGGCTGCTGCTGCCCACCTGGAGCTTGCACGCTGGAGAGCCCAGAGGCGGTGGTGGCAAACGCTGCCCAGTGTGGCAGTGGGGTGGGTTACAGGCTGGTGCTGAGTCCCAGGGGGGCAGGAAGGGGACCCTTGTCTACCCTGCAGCCAGTGCCCCATGCTGCAGCTGCTCGCAGCCTGCCTGGGGCTTCCTGTGCCTGCTCAAAACAAAATAAGAGCAGGGGTTACATGGCAGGATGCCCTGCTTGTGCCTCTTGTCCCCTCCAAAGGCCCTTCCCTCCAGCCCTGCTGCCCTGTGCCCCACACCCCAAGCCCCTGCCTCCCACCCCAGGCTCTGTAGCTGTCAGCAGCTACCCAGAACCTGGGCCAGCTGCAAACATCTGCTGCCTCTCCACCCCGGCCCCCACCTGTGCCTGCTTAGGACTGCCCTGCATGCGCTGTGAGCGGCTGCAGCAGGAAGCACTGGCCACAGGGGAGGGGCTGCTTCCCCCACCCCCCTGCCCTCAGCACCAGCTCGTTCCCTGCCATGGAGCAGGGGGTCAGGGCTGTGTGCTGCCCCCCTCCTGTACCGTGGGGCTGGGGAGTACTGGGAGTGAGTGGATGCACAGGGCCCACACCAGTATTCCCAGGCCAGTGCTGGTGGGGCCCAAAGCCCAGCAGCAGAAGTAGAGGGTCCTAGCTGGCAGGGGGTCTATGGAGCTGAGCTAGTTCCCCCCTCTCCCTGGTGGTGCAGCCCAACCCAACTCCACAAACCCCTGCCAGCCTGAAGCCCTCTCTGGGCCTCACCGATGCTGGCCCTGAGACATTGGTCCAAAGATGGTGACCAGGGGGTGGGGCACCTGTCAAGGAGTGGGGCTACCCACGCGGCCCTTGACATCTTGCCAAAAACTGGGTAAGTGGCCCTCCACCCAAAATAATTGCCCGCCCCTGCCCTAGCTGCAGGCTATAAGAGCCAATTTGTACCCTGGGGTGCACATACCAGAAGTCTAAAGGAACCTGGACACTCCCCAGGAGCACTGCAGGCCCCTTGTGCCCCCCTGGATAGGACAAAGGCTGCCTCTGCCTGCCTTGTCTGGGAGCCAGAGCTACTGTTTGGCCACTGCAGAGCCACACAGTGGACAGGGCACCCCCATTGGGCCAAGTGGGTACTGCAGCCTGCTGCATCCCCTGGCCAGCCCGGATAGCTCCACAGGGCTGCTTGCTGGTTGCTTCTGGCAGCAGGGTCAGCACCAGCTCCCTGCTGCTCTCCCCCAGCAGCCTGCCCTGCACCTGTAGGTGCTGTGGGGCACAGCTTCTGCCCATGTGGCTCCCAGTCCATGCTGGCAGCTGCTCAGGGCCAGCAACATAGAGACAGCCACACAGGGGCCTAGAGAGCCAGTGCAGGATGCACCATGTCATCTGCATCTCCTCATTAAGGCCTAGCTCTGCCTGCATGCACATGCCTATGCCATCCACCTGGACCCCAACTGGAGCCAGGAGGAGACTGAAGATCTTGTGGCATGCTGGCATGATGCAGAGGTTAAGAAGCTGTTCAAGCCAAGTGGATGCTCAAAACGCCCACATTTATGAGGCCCTGTCAGGCAGTGCTGCATAAAGATCAAAGCCTTGTGGGCACAATGGGTGGCCATGATCAACAATTATTTTCAGTCCAGTTGTGCCTGCAAGACCATGACCTTTATGCTGCAGCTGACCAACATTTTAGTGCCCCAGAACTCATGCCACAACCCTGCAGCAGGGGCAACCTGCCTAAGTTCCCACCCCATCCTGACCTCTCCAGTGACATGTCACCAGAGAAGGGCCTTTGATCACTCAGCACCCCACCCTGCCCAGCTCCCCAGCTGCTACATTCACTAGCAGCTCAGGGAGCCCTAGGTAGCAGCTGTCCTAGTGCCTATGTAGCCCCATCACAAGGGGTGGCTGACCATATCACCACTGGCTTCCAGCAGTGCCAGAGGGATGGGGGCTGGCTGGGTACTGGCCTGCCACATACCATGAAGACCAGATGCAGCTGCATGCCCTTGCTCATGGGAAGGTCCACCAAGCCACAGGCTATGCCTGACCTGGCCACATGCTAAGTCCTGTGCAGAGGGAGGACCCTCCCAGCCTCAGTCCCTATTCCTGCCCCTGGGTCCCCCCTCCCACACCACAAAGAGGTGGGACACAGTTCAAAACTTTATTCTGCAGCCTGTGTCCCCACAGCTGGGAAGGCATATGCCTCTCACACCCTGAGGAAAGCATCAATGCCAGCCACAATGTCCTCCTCGGTAGCAGGGAACAGGAATGTGTAGGACTGCCACAGGCAGCCCACCTGGTAGTGGCAGAAGTGGCAGGGCATCCTCACATGTTGTCATGGCTCAGGGTCCCAAACCAAGAGTGCAGGTGTGCTTGGGACACCCAGAGGATGACCAGCAGTAGGGCCTAGTGCCTCGGACACCCCTCAGCCTGCAGGAACAGCTCATTGTGCACCGCCCAAAGCACATACAGCATAGGCACACTTGGGGCACAGCAGCAGCACGGGGGGGAGGCGCTGATCCAGAAGTTTAAGTCTCTAATTCACACACATGGGAACAGAGACCTTTTCTAAGTTGGGAGATTCAGTATAAACACCAAAACAAAAAACCCACCAGAAACCCCAAATCAGTTTATAAAAAGGAGTATGAATGCAAGCACCAACTTTCCTTCCAGCTGCCAAATCAAAAGTAACAGATTGGGCAGGAGAAAAAAAGAATTCTTTCAGTCAAAAATAAATATTGATAGATATTTTCTTCTCAGAGAAGACAAATCCATCTTTTAGCAATTAACAGTTCTTCTGGCAATTTAGTACAAGAAAATGTATCATTTTAGTTATAAAACCCTCAGTTGAAGAAAGAGGCTTATCAAAAGTTCATTTGGTCAATGAATGCTGGTGGTGGGTGAAATTCTAGTAGGTTAATGTACAGATAATACTGCTAATCTGTAAGTATTTGAATCAGGAGTGAAATTCAACCCAGTACAGAGCATATAGTTAGGATTTACCCAATATACGTTTCTTATAAAAATGAAATAAAATATTATAGGCATCATTCAAAGGCTGAAGACAATGAAAAGTTTCCTTTAGACCTCAAGTTGTCAGATTTTGAACAAAACTTTAAAAAAAAATAAAGTGAAAAATTTTGCTGGCAACCTTTATTTATAGACAGGTCAAAAGGCTGAGATATTCATTTTTACTAATCTTTTTATAAGACTTCAAGTTCTTGTTCATATAATTTTTTTTAATTGTAAGCCTGCCAACAGAAAGCCCAGGAAAACAACTATTGTCTTGTCAATCAAGTGGGGTTTCTCTGTGAGTTTATTAGGGTAGGTCTAGATGGCATGATGTTGTCCTGTGCTATGTAGGCATACCCTTACATGCAACAGTTCTGGAATAGTCTATGCTTCTATATATGCAATAGCACTATAGTCTTTGTAATGTTTAGTGCTGTATAAAAGAGAAGAACAGGTTATACTCTCATTTAAGGCTAAGTACATTTAAAACACTATTAAAATGGTGGATCCTAATGTATGGAAACCCTTAATGGATTGGTATTAGACTAAAGCGCTTTAGACTTGAGCACTTTTTTGAACATCTGTACCACATTCACCACACTTCAATGTAGGTCACTTTCTGCCACCATCTCAGGGGCCCCTCACTAGACAGCTTACTAGCCTCAACCCATGCTCATCTGTTCTGGGCAAGCACTGGCCCAGCCCCGCCCCCAGGTTGTCACAGAGAAGAAACAGAAAAGGCCCCGTCTCCTCCCTGTGCAGGGGGGTGAGGAAACAGAGCCTCTGTTAGGCACGTTCCACCTGCTCCCCAGCTCCCCCCAAAGTTTGTAGGCTTGGGCCTTGTTGAGGGCCAGGCTGCATCTATGGAGGCAGAGAAGCTCCCCCTTGCCCCCAGGCACAGTTCAAAGCACAGCAAAAAGCAGGGTTGGGCAGCCCCATGCTGCAGCTTCTGGCTACTGTTGTTAGGAGACTCAGCAGGGGGAGAGGGAAAGGAAGCCCCCCCACAGTGACATGATGCCATGTGCCTACCATGCTCAGGGGCATGTGTCCTCTAGGCCTCTGCTGGGGTGCACACAGTAGTGAGAACTCCCTGCACCTCTGGATAAGCTGCCTGGGCTCCAAGTGTCCCATGACCTGCCCCAGCCCCGGGGTCCTATTCACCCCAGCCCCTGCACCACTCCCTCCCTCACCATGGGAGCTTCACACTTGCCTGCCACATCCCTTCCCCATGACAGACTTACCTGTTGCACCAGGTAGTGCTCCACAGGCCACCTGGCTGTTGCAGGCTCCAGCTGCATGTCTGTATCCATGCGTGCCCTCCCCCGCCCCCCTCCACTGCTGCATCTGCCCAGAGCCCATGCCTAGGCTGCCCTGTGGCACTCTGCCCTGCCACCACTGCCCTGCTTTTGGGGCATTAAGCCCAGTTAGCCCTGGCCTTCCACCACTTATGCCCATCCCATAAGCCACCAAGCCCCTCTTTTTGTTTACTTTTCTTTGCTGAAAACACTTTTGACTACTTTTCTTAGTATACTAATAGTACAACATAAAAAGATAGTAAATCAAATTACAAAACATTAAAAAGTGTTCAGTAATATAGTTAACAAATACCATAATAAAAAAAATCATTAAAAGTAAAGGACATTACTTACTTTTGGCTTCTTTTCTTGTGGATAAACATTGTCATGAAAATCTATTGTTGAAGTGAGAAATGTGCTGTCAATCCACATTCAAGGCAATAAGTATAGACAATAACAGAATAAATGCATTCTGGTAACAAATACCAATATAAAGAATGATTAAACTATTTATTAATTATCTTGTTCTGGGTGTGTCTACATGAGACACTTAATGCCCATTGGACTAATTCTACTGTGCATTAGCGCAGCTGGCAAATACCAAGACACAGTGGATTTGGCCAATTGCCAAGATGGGGGGGGATTGCAGGGGGGCCTCTCAGTGTGCTCCCTGATGGACCCAGAAGTGGACCGGAACTACTTCCAGTCCACTTCCAGGTTTGGCACCAAGCACATGGGAGCCCTTCCCCTGCACTCCTTTGGGATGCTCCTTCCACACCAGCATCACAGCACTCACGACCCATGCCTGGTACCTCAAGGTATGTAGAAAAAACATTTAAAGCTGTGTCTATGTCTGAATCACTGATTCTCTGGATCAGCATTGAATCTTCAGGTTCAGATTTGGCAGAATCAAATTGGGAACGGTGATCTGAATCAACAAATAGAATCACTGTCCCCAATTCAGGCCAAATCCAAATCGAATAGGACCCGTTTCACACACCCCTAGCATTTAATACGTGTAATAAACAGGTTCTAACTTAATATCCCATAACTGGTGCTACTAATCAGCACTACTTATTTCCAGATACTAACTTAATGAAATGCAATTATGGCTTTAATGAATGTGTAGACACATTATCTATGCACTATAATGTCTTAATTCTCTAAAAAGCCATACACTTTAGGATGGAGCTTGGATGGTGCATTTGGGGGATGACTTATTGGTATGGGGTCTGGATTACTTTGACACTGCACAGCTAATACATGCAGAGTGCACACTTTTTATCCAATTTTCATGTAGCAACTTTCTTTTGAAATGAAGATTAATATCCAATAATGATAACCTTGGGATGTCAGTGCAATAAATGCTGGTCATCTTTTACATGTTCTACAATTCAAAATGTCTTAAATGAACTCACCAGTCAATGGTATACCATCTTTTCAAGTGTGATATTAACTAGGAAACTGGCCGTGTCTGACTGAGATAAATGTATCTTGATTTTATACAAATTTGAGGGGCCAGTTACTCACTAAGTTATCCTTTTGTTTACAGCTAGATTGGGTCTAACTGCAGTGTAAGGCATAACCCCAAAGTCTTGCTCAGCCAAATCTTGTATCCAAATCCAAGGCAGAGCTTAGTCCCTTCCCTCAAATACTGCAATTAAAACAGATTTAGATACAAAGTTAAGGCTCTGTCCTCCCCATTGCTGGCTAGAGTAGATTTGTAAAGTTCCTAAAAAGTATGCAAAGGCAGTAAGATAGCTTAACTTTTTCAGTACTTGCTACCCCTTGTAAAAGAAGCAAGCTGGGATTTTTTGCCCAAGATGTTTGATGCACAACAACTTCATATAATTTCTGGATTGATGCAATTTATACCCTAACCTTTTCTTGGGATTATTTTTAAAAGCACAATCTAATTTTTAGGTGCTACTGCTTTGGAAACAACCACCACCAAGAAGTATAGAATTATGTTTCATAGGTAGAGAGCATTTTATTACCAGCGTCTCTTTATCTGTAAATTGCTGTTCTCACAATTATATTTTGAGTTCTAGTCGTATCTCGCATGCATTTTAAGATGACATCTTTATAAAGATGTCCATATTCTGCAACCATGGTTAGAGTGCTTGTGGCTTTTTTTCTGTCTCCAATCTATAAGTCTGAGTTTATTTTGGTATTTTTGTTTTCAACTTTTCTGTGCCCACATCATTGACTTGACATGCTCTAATGCTGTAGTCACAGATCAATGCACAAAAAATACATCTTAGTGCTTTATGATGATGGCTTTTTCACTTTTCTTTTTGTGCTTCTCTTGGTATAATTTAGCAATAACTTCTAAAAGGCAAGCAGCAGCGTTCTGGCTGTAACAGTTTCTGAGAATTTTCATCTTTTCATAAGTCCATGAAATATATGCTGAGGCACTGGACACCTACTATTCCAGAGGGCAGAAGTGGAGATGCCCAGAGTAAAGCAATTATATGAAGGAAACTGGGTTGAAATGACAACAGTGGATAAAAGTAGAGACCCTAGATTTGTGTCTTCCATTTCCTGAAGTTTTACTTGCATTAGGGTCAGCTTTCAGGAAAAGCAAGGAAGCCTGTACAGATTGGGGTGAGAGTGAGAGTTGATCTCTGTGCTGGTCCCAAGTAATCCAGCACAGCGGGCATGACAATAATGGCCGAGAGAGCCTAGTAAATTATTCAGATTCAAACAGCACAGACAATGGTTACACAAGAAAGATCTGCATGCTTGTACTACTAAGCCTCTCTAGCCTTTAAGTCAGCCATTGACAAAATAGACCAGAAGATATTGTTTAGTTCTTATTCATCTACACCTGCAGTTGTTGAACCTAGGGATTACTACATAGTTTCATAGTTTCATAGTTTCTAGGGTTGGAAGG